ACGCTCTTTCTGACATGAGTTTATTGGTGAAGTCTTTGAACATTTGCATGAAAAAATCTCTAATTGATGTTCTGGGCCTGCTTCAGAATCAGACTGTGGACTGTTCTCTGGAGTGACCTTGGTGTCGCTCTGGAGATGATTTTTTGGATCAGTCTCTGGACCATGTGTCTGTACCTTGACCACACCCTTCTCTGAATCAAGACTCTCTAACCTCTCACTTGCAGGTCTCTCTGACTGAGCAAGCTCACGAGTGAGTCTCTCTGACCTCTCACAAGCAAGTCTCTCTGACCTCTCATGAGCGGGTCTCTCTGACCTCCCATGAGCGAGACTCTCTGACTTTGTATGAGCGAGACTCTCTGACTTCGCATGAGTGAGACTCCCTAACCTCTCACGGAGGTTTCCAGATTGACTTGGTGCAAAGTTAGATAGACCTTTGCTGGCCTGGTGCTTAAAGAGAGAGATCCATGAGAGTCCGTGGCTGCTCTGTGACTCAAAGGGGTCAGGACATTCTTCCTGATGATTCATGAGTGACAGGGACTGGCGGATCCTGTGGGGCAGGCCCCAGAAGTGTTGGATGAGCCTCTTTTGAAGGTGGTGCTCTAGTTTCTTCCTGACCACCACGTTGAGGGGGAAGTCTCCAGTAAGGATGGTCTTGGACACATGCATCCTGAAGGGCGGACTGAACGGGAGCTTGGGCGAGCTTGGGAGGTGGAGAACAGAAGTCTTCTTGGGACCTTTGGATTACAGTGGGTAAGCCCCATACACTTTCCTGTATTTTTTGCAATATGTTGAATTCGATGTGGTGGATTTCATCTGGGATCAGAGGTTGTGCTTCATTCTGGGGTCTGTGTAAACGCACCCCACAGATCCTGAACTGGGCCAGTGAAGGTAGCGGGTCTGGAATTTGGCTTTGAGGCTGGGCCCGAGGCCTAGCATGAGACACATCCTTGACCTGAGATTGCAGAAGGCTTTTTGGCCAGGCCTGTTGGTCACTCTCAGGCAAGGACAGAGGTATGGGGTTAGTAGGATAACTGCTGGCTGTGGAGGCCTTAGCGATTCTGTTGAAGTCAGCACATATTGAGGAATTGTCACCCAAGGCAGCAGGTGGAGGTTTCAGGGACTCACTATGTAGAGAAGGGGGGCCCCAGAAGAGCTGAATATCCTTGGCTTTTAACTGGTCTTCAGAGTTCTTGGGATTAGGGGGCTGTTGGTACACGTGAGGGTCCACTGATTTGTCTTTTCTGTTACCCAAAAGAAGGGAGACTTCCAAGTTCTGTGGATTAGCAGCTGACTCTGAGATTTCCCCCCAAGTTAGTGCTTTTGGAAGAGATTCTGGTTTGGTTTTGTTATGCTTGGACATAATGGCCTTGGTCTCTCTTTTCTCTTGCTTCTCAAAGAGTGCCAGGACACCAGGGCTGAGAGATGGGAGGTTTCCATGCTCTGTAAAATATGCTCCTCTGTCTCCCTGAAATGAGGCTTGAGAAGCATGGGTGTCTAGAAGTGGTTTGTTAGTATAGCGTACCAACTGAAAGGAGGACTCGTTGTCAGCATCTGGCTGCTGCGGGGAGGATTCTGGCATTGCATGTCTTGCATAGAAAGTGCCTTTGGTTATTGCAACATCAGATGACCACTCATGAGGGCTCTCTACCACAGATAGGGTAGCTGCTGACCGGAGAACCAGCTCTTCTGGTGGGAGAAGTAACTCTGTTTCCCAAGTGCCTTGATGCAGCAGTTGTGGCAGAGAGAGAGTTAGTTTATGTTGGATACAGTTCAGTGAGACTTTGAGGCTTAAGGGAGGAATAGTCTGTGGTGACAGAGAGTCACCTACTGGTGTGGGAGGGATTAGGTTAGGTGAGAGAATGGAAGGGGCCGGCTGTGACAGAGAGACTGGACTCAGATGTCCTGGATCATTTGCTGAGAAGGTTGATGACACTAATGAGGTCACTGTCAAAGAAGTCGTGGAAGCCAAGTGGGATACCAAGGCAACACCATCTTCCCGGGATGCCTGAGAGAGCAGATGACTGACCTGAGCAGTTGCTTTGTTACACACAGCACAGAGGGGTTCTGGACACAGCAGTTTCCGAAAGCCACTGGGATCATATGGCTCACCCAGGGGGCTGTAAGGAGACAGAATGTTCAAATTTGGAAAATCTTCTTGGAAGTGGAAATAGGAAAGGAAGAAGCATGGAAAAGGAGGGCCTTCCGGCCTAGCCCAAGTACAGACACCTGCAGCTCGACACTTTGATAGACACTGAGCTTCACATTGCCCCATCTACGGCTGTCAGAGATGCTGTGGCCTCCCTCCACACCCTCCATTCACATACTTGCTCCTTTGGCTGCTCCTTTCACTACTCCTTTCATGACAAGGGCAGGCTATGATGAGTCTCTGAGATACATAGAAGAGAGCAGGGAAGAGGAGGAAAGAAGAATCACCTCTGAAGGATGTTTTGCAGCTTCTGCCCCTCCTCTACTTCTCTCTGGTCAGTTTTCCTACCTGGAAAAGAAGGATTCTGGGTTATCTGGAATGAAGTCAGACATGGAAAGGTCCCTATAAGAAAAAACACTTAGCCGGGCGTGGTGGCACACGCTTTTGATCCCAGCACTTGGGAGGCAGAGGCAGGCAGATCTCTGGGAGTTCAAGGCCAGCCTGGTCTACAAGGCCAGCCTGGTCTACATAGTGAGTTCCAGAACTGCTGGGGTCAAAAAGACCAAAAGAAAAAAAAAGATCAAAAAAAAAAAAAAAAGTTTTTCTGCTGGGCGGGGGTGATTCTCAAAACCACTGCGTAAAGCTCCACTCTATGGTTTCCTCGTAGATGTCTAGGAATGAAGCACTGCAACCAGGTCAGGAGACAGAACCTGTGCCCCAAAGCAACCAGGACTGCTTCCTCCTCACCTCACATGGACACTGAGGGGCTATGCCCACTGCCGGGTCTGTCCCTGCTTCATACTCAGGAGTGAGCAGAGTGGGGACTCAGATTTATCTTGGGTCTATCATCCCGTGAGTCTGTCTAGCACCTGCCCTCTTGAGACCACGGGCCTACAACTATATGGAAAGGACAGGAGGGGGACCCTGGGAGATGAAGGCAACAGGAGAAACATACTTCTTTTCTTGGTTCTGTCCTGTGGCTGTGAAGAGAACAAAAAAACAGGATGATGGGTGGAAATTATTTGTATTGGTTCTTTTTCTAAGATACTCAGAATGCCATTAACCATGAGGCCCCTTAAATAAATGATTTATACTCTCCATTTATTAACTTTTAAAGTAAAAATCACATATTTTCACTGTTTCTGTTTTGGGAAACTAAAGGAGGATTTGTGAGATCCTTGGGATTCTCAGCCAGAATCCTCACTTGAGAGCATAGAATCTGAAGCCAGTGGTCACAGCTGTGCTGCCTCTGAGGATGTGCCTGGGGCCTAAGATGGTCCAGCCATCACAGCTGTGCTCCCTCCAAGGACCCTGTGCCCGAGGCCCAAGATCATGGTCCAGGCCCTATTCAAAGGCCGTACGCTCTCCTGATCAGTTCAACATGAAAGAAGAAGGGACACACGATTTGGGAATACAGCACATTAATCAAGGGGAGGCTTGTCTCATTCAGAGAGCCTGAAAAGTGGAACCAACCCAATGGGACCAGGAATTGATGCTTGTCGCTTTATCCTGGAACCTTTAACCACACATAGATCCCGTGGACTTCAGATGAAAATCTTAGTCCTCCCAGAATCCCTTCTCTGCTAGGCCTCATGGCCCAGGATAGCGGTGTCCTTTCCTCCCCAGGGTCCCATCTCAGACATCCCTCTGAGCCAACCAAACTCCTTCAGTAACTTGAGAATAGAAATGGGACACATGAATTAACAATCTCCTTACCTTTTGGGTATCTTTACTTTTCCATCGTGATAGTAAAAATGTCTTCAGTAACAAGTAGCAAGCATACAGAAGAAATAACCCCACTCCACTCAGCAAGGTGAAGTTGGGGTCAGTGTCGAAACAATGTGAGCCGAAGCTCAGCCATGCCTCAGTAAGGCCATTCAGAGATGTGAGGATATTCCCCATAGTGTTAACAGCACAGCTGCTGGAGATATCTGAGCTCTGAGGGGCCAGGACCCTGATTATAGCCCCAAGCCTACATCACAGAGCAGGGGAAGAGTCACAAAGGTTTTCTGAGGGCAGGTATGAGGATGTGTCTTCAACTCCGCCCCTTATCCCTCAGGAGCTCTACAGAGCCCTGTGCCTAATCCTGCTGCTCTAGTTTTCCACCTACTTTTCTTCATACCATATTCCTCAGAGAACCTGTTTGCTCCATCTGCAACCCAGACTTTAACCCAGTCACTGTTAACTGTTTGGAGTACTTGATGTGGACCTAAGAAATTCTCACACCTTTAAAGTCTGACACAATGCCTGATTTTTGTCCACATTTACACTCTTTTGTTGTTGTTGTTGTTGTTGTTGTTGTTGTTGTTGTTGTTGTTGTTGTTGTTCTTCTTCTTCTTCTTCTTCTTCTTCTTCTTCTTCTTCTTCTTCTTCTTCTTCTTCTTCTTCTTCTTCTTCTTCTTCTTCTTCTTCTTCTTCTTCTTCTTCTTCTTCTTCTTCTTCTTCTTCTTCTTCTTCTTCTTCTTCTTCTTCTTCTTCTTCTTCTTCTTCTTCTTCTTCTTCTTCTTCTTCTTCTTCTTCTTCTTCTTCTTCTTCTTCTTCTTCTTCTTCTTCTTCTTCTTCTTCTTCTTCTTCTTCTTCTTCTTCTTCTTCTTCTTCTTCTTCTTCTTCTTCTTCTTCTTCTTCTTCTTCTTCTTCTTTTTGAGACAGGGTCTCCCTGTAGCTCCAGCTGGCCTGGAACTCACTATGTAGACCAGACTGGCCTTGATCTCACAGAGATCTGCCTGCCTCTGCCTCCGGAATGTGGGGATTAAAGGCGCACACCTGACACGTTTACAGTCCTAATGACACAAACATCCTCAAATATACACCATCTACAGAGCGGTTGTCCTTTTTGCCTTCTACATGTATTTTGTCAATGTCAAGCAGTACATTTTTGTGTTTGAGTTAGCCTTTAATGTCTCTAATCAGAGGGACAGAGTCAAAGCACAAAACGGACATAAATCTGGAGCACGTGACTAAAGCATCAAGTAAGTGTTCTCCAAAATGGACATAAATCTTGAGTACGTGACTAAAGCATCAAGTAAGTGTTCTTGGGTATAGGATTATACCATGTTTTTGTAAGCTAGCAAAAATAAGTCACTTTGTGCTGCAGACACACATACACACACACACACACACACCTTTGAGAAATCAATGTATTGTTTTCCTATCTAAAAACAATTATCCCTCTTTTTCTTTCAATCTATCACTTTAACCCTACTTCCTCCAACTCTACCTTACATACAGTTGTTTCTGACCACTTCATCAATTTCATGAGTTCCATGATTCAGTCAAGTCAAAGCTGACAGTAGGCAATGGGATTGATTCTCCAGGTCCTTGGTGGCAGAGCGGGGCCCAGGAGTATCAAAGCCTTAGAGGAGGGCCTTGGATTGAGAAGCCTCGCTGATGACCCGTTGGATCTGCTCTATACAATCACCCGGTACAAACTGAAGAGGCTGTCGTGTTATTGCATCATTTCTTCTCCAAATCCTCTACCTCACCCACACCCCACAACTTCTGTTCTAAAGAACAACTTATGATTTCCCATCTCTGCAGTCATCCAGTAATGTATGTGCCTTTGGTGTAGCGCGTGGTGGTGGTGGTGATGGTGCACCATAGAGGAGGGCACTGTTCTTGTGAGAGACAAGCAGGAGAGAGTTTTAAACAAAGGAAGGGCCAGGGACCCCATATTCCATTCAAGAGCACATCCTCAGTCACCTAACTACTTTCTATCAGACTCCACGTTTTAACAGTTCCACTGCTTTTCCCCAGTGCCACATACTGGTGACCAACATACACACACATAGGCATTTCGTATCCTAGATACAGTTTTATGAAGAATTGGGGGGGGTGGCTTGTGAACTCTAATTTTCTTTTTTTTTTTTGTAACATCAATTTTCTAGTGGGTCTAGTAAACATCGTTGTCTGTTTGTTCCCCATTTGCTTTTTCTCACAACATGGCTGGTAAGGAGTTTAAATTTGGGGAACAGTACCAGAAGCAGTCATTGAGGAAACAGATATCTTGGTATTCTTACCACATTTCTAAGTAAGTTTGGCTCAGAGAGACACCTATGATTTGTAGGTTGAGAAGAAGGCAGATCATCTTTCTTACAGGGAAAGACACTGGCAGGAAGACTCCATGGAGGACTAAGGTCTCCACTTGAAGTTCAGAGTTCATCTATCTGGGTATGGCAGAGGGCTCCTTACTAACACTCCAAACAGTGAGTTCATGATCCTGCATGAATTTGCAGAGTATGGATTCACATAAGTTTAGAATGCTCTTCAAACACATGTGGTTCCCATTCCCAAATTAGACATACCTTAATCAAGCCCTGCTGTGGGTTAGCCTGATCAGGAGCGTCATGCCAAGCTGCAGAGAGATTTTGATCACAGGATGGAACTGAAATGCTGTCTCCAGGACACAAAATCTGCAGAGGCACAACAGACGTAGGTGTTGGTCAAGGTTCTACAAACTCTGAGGGAGTACATAAAGTGAGGATCCCACCAGTGGAGTCTCCTTTGTTTATTAAAGAAGGCAGAAGTGAAAATATTAATTAAATGAAGGAATTCATTAATTAAAGTAGTCGTTTCTTGGAAAATGAAGATTTGAATCTCCCAGCAAAGAAGGAGAAGTGAGTGCCAGCACCACATTTTTATGGGCTTAGCATCATAGGAGAACTAAAGAAGAGCAACAGAAAAGAGACGGGGGGGGGGCTGGAGAGATGGCTCAGTGGTTAAGAACACTGACTGTTCTTGCAGAAGACCGGGGTTCGAATCCCAGCACCCACATGGCAGCTAACAACTGTCCGTAACTCCAGTTCCAGGGGATCCAACAGCCTCTTCTGTCCT